GGGGGGTTAGGAGAGGGAGTGGGGGGAATGGGAGGGTGTGGGGAGGAAGGGAGGAAGTGGAAATTTTTATAAACAAAAAATTAATTAATTATTTAATTAAAAAATGATTGAGGAATACATCATAATATTAAACTCTCCCCTCCACAAGCATCACATGTTGAGTGTACACACACATGCACACACACACACACACACACATACACACACACACACACACACACACACACATACACATGGGGGGGGGAGAGAGAGAGAGAGAGAGAGAGAGATTCACAACCCTTAATTTAAATTTTAAATATGATCTAAAGCATCAAAAGTAAATTATCCTTTCAAGTGCTATGTGTTGTGGAATAATCTTTTTGTACACTGTGAAGATGTCTCTTGAGTTGGTTTAATTATGGCCAATAACTAAGCAGGATTTTCTTCAGGGCAGAGAGGATGCTGGGAAGAATCACGAGGAGATGCTGTGAGACACAGAGAAAGCGTGAGGTGCAAGAGGAGAGGTAACAAGTCTTGAGCCATGTGGTAGGACATAAATAAATAAAAATTGGTTAATTAAGTTATAAGAGCTAGTTAGAAACAAGCCTAAGCTACTGACCAAGCATTCATAATTAGTAAGTCATCTCCGTGTCATGATTTGGGAATTGGCTGGCAGGACAGAGAAAGACTCCCTACAACTATGTAAGTAAGGTTTTTAGAAACTATAACACATTTTTTTCTGTTTCTAGCATCTAATCATACATAGATTACAACAACTACACATTGTTACTAGCGAGTTATTGAGTTAGTTGCTTACTGAAACCATCTCTACATTTTAAAGCTTAGTTTGAACTGTGATTGCATGAATTAGAAAGAAGTGGAGAAAATGATGTTTTTCTGAGTGGTTTTCTTTTGAAGGACTGAAAAATTCTTTAAGGAAAGGAAAACATTGTATTAAAAAGTCTAAATTTGGATTTTTAATATTTACTGAGGGTTTATGCTGTGGACATATTCTTTGTACCAATGTCTCACTACATATAGCCAGTGTGCTAAAGAATTAGTCAGTCTTGTACCGCATATATACATGTGGGCACACACAGAGGGAGCTACAGCACACTATAGACTTGCCATTGTCAGATCATCCTCAGCAATTGTCTGTCTCTTTTTAGAATGAATGCCCCTGCACCTTTTCTCCCGTGCCATTTTCCCCAGTGCTCCCCGACCACCACCACCATGATACCTTTCTGTCTGAGACATTTGTGAGTCCAAGTCATGAATACAATACCCCCATCCAAAGAATGGCGCTGGCACAGGACAGACTATGTCGTTGGTTAGATACAGGGGAGGTTTTCTGAATACCCAGAGCAAATACAATAATACAGAGCAGAAAGAAAAGCCCAACCTTTGTTCACACTATTGTTTCCAAAAATGTGATATTCTCTTATGCTGCCAAACCATACAATGACTAACCAGAACACCCAATAAAACATGACAGATCTTGTGGACCTGGGAACAGTGAAAGCTTGAGGCCTCGTTAGATGTATCCTAAAGGCCTCTCACCATGGCCCACCTAGGCCTCGTTAGGTGTATCCTAAAGGCCTCTCGCCATGGCCCACCTAGGCCTCGTTAGGTGTATCCTAAAGGCCTCTCGCCGTCGCCCACCTAGGCCTCGTTAGGTGTATCCTAAAGGTCTCTCACCCATCTATGCCTGGTCTTACAGGCCAGCACAATCATAGCACTGAAGGTTCTTTTGTTTTAAAAGAACTCCTTTATTATTTGAAAAATATTGTTCAATATTATTCTGCACTGAAAATTGAAAGCAGAAATAAAAAGTCCTTTAGGGCTCACTGCAACTCTCCAATTATTTGATATTTATGTATAAAGCACTTTTTCATACAAGGAAGCCTGGGTAAGGCATGAAGAAGCAGGAAGCCTGTAACAATCCTGCAACTGTTCATCTAAAACTGAGACTTAGATTCCAAGCACAAAAATGTCACTATATCTGAAAGACAACCTAGTAGCTTCAGGAAGCTAGAGATAGGCTTATGCTGTTGCCTAGAAACCATAGATAGAGGGAAGCTTTATACTACACATAATGACATTCTGGGTTTGCCTTCTCATGGAACCTAGGACAAGTAATTAAACTCTAATAGTTCTTAATTATCTCATCCCCTAGATGGAGATGTTTGTGTCGTCGCCCTCCGCTAGAGATCCATTAGCTAGCCAGTTGGAAAGATGTCCTTATACATCTTTTACAGACAGGAAGCCAATGGCCCACTTCTAAGGACTTTGCCTCTGAATGGACCTAGCTTCTCGACACAATCAGAAGTTGAATTCGGTATCAGTTGAATACTACAGGTAATACAAACTCTTCCCCAGCACAGCAGCACCTGTGATCCAAGACCAGCCTCAGGCAGCTTAAGCCTGTAAGTAGTCTAAGATGCTATTCTTATACTATAGTATATTATTATATATTAATTAATTAATAATAGTAGCAATATTATTATATGTCTTTCAGGTCTAGTGACCTTTATGTTTGCAATCTGAAGAGCAAAGCCACCTCTGGCTTAAAGTACTGATTCCTAACATGTCCTAACTTTTCACTATAGGGGAGATGGAACTGAGTTTAAACTCAGAGCTAACAAAATTTTCACCCTGTTTTATTCTTTTGAAAGGAAATTTTTCCCCTTAACTTGTCACACTGAAATGTATGGGTCTAGCTCGCCTCAGACCTCCCTTGCACCCTCAAATGAGCACTATGCCTCTTCCTCCCGCCTCCAGCTCCCTCAGCTCTGAAGCGACTGTCAGCGGAATCATTGGGAGGTTCCAGGTAACTGAACGCTTGGTACCAGAGACAGGAGCAGCAGCTCAACACTGTGAAGCCGACCATTTCATTTCCTGTTCATTCTGCCACGGACACTGCTGGCGAAAGAGGTGGAAGCTGTTTACAGGTGCGTAGTTTGTAACGTCTTTTCACCTTGGGTGGAAATCCCTAGGACATTAAGGCCAATGAAGAAGAAATAGAGTAATTGAGTGGGGCAAAGGAGAAGTTCAAACAGTAAGAAGGGGCACCTAGGAGAGGTTCAGGTGAAGACTGAACCCTGCCCCCAGGAATCTCAGAAGCGCCGCAGGTTAACTTTTGCAGCATTCCAGATACCGACCTGCCTAGCACTCTAATCTAGTGGTTATTGAAAATGAGGGGGCTGGTGCTCAGATGCTCGTGTGTTTGTCTCCGAAACCCACACCTGTGAAAGCACTCCTATCTGGAAAACTAATGACTTGCATGCCTAGGGCTTTCGCTGTTCACAGTCAATGAAGTACTTGCAAGAAACAGGGCACACGAGGACACGACACGTGGAACCAGCTTCACCCGGCCATTCACTCTGGGGGGTTCTATTTGTACACTTCCCTTTGTAACACCTCCCCCCGGGCAGTATTATTATAACTCTGTCAGAAATGCTTCCTGTTAATTGCTGTTTATTTTCAATTAATGTACACCATGCCTCACCAAGACCTTCTTTTCTTCTAGAGCTACCCTCACTCTGGTACTGACTCCTAAACCCCGAGTCTTCCGTGAGCTAGCCAGGTGCTCTGCCATTCAACTCTGTCCTGGAGCCTTTTAGGATAATTTGCTGAATCCTTTGCCACCACCTATGCCAGATTCTGGAATGGCTCTGTTAGGTCAAACCCTGCTCGCTGCAGGACAGGCTGTGTCATTCCCTGTGAATCCCAGAGGTTAGCAGGTCCTTAGCAGAGGACCACCTGCCCCCTGTAACAGCTTCCGCCCTCACTGTGAATCCCGCCCCACCATCTTTGAACCCCACCCACACTATCTTTTTCTCTCCCCTTCGCTACCCCGCCCACCCCACCGGCCTCCTTGCCACTCCATATAATCTATTCATTCCCCTAACCCCTCACCCACTTTCTTTCTGCTTTCCCCGCTGTGTGGGTAATGACATTGATTGCGCATGCTTGGGGGTGGTACTACAAGACAGCCAGTTTGCTGCGCTACTTGGAGCCAGGCAAACTAACAGAATATATATATGTGTGTGTGTCTCAAAGGCCCATGTCTGTGCTGCTCTCCTCTCGTGAGGAGACTTGGATATCTTCTGCTCCCGAGAGCCTTGACATTCCAAGGGGATGTGAGGCACATGTGGCCTCAGCAGTCCAGACCTGAGGCCTATGTGACATGCTCTCCAGGCCCAGCTTTGTAAGGGTGTTTCTCTCCAAGAGCAGGCATTAGTCCTTTTCTTGGTGGCTCCAAGCAAACTGTAACCACAAAGCTGCTAGGTTTGGTTTTGTTTTTTGGTTTTTTTTTTTTTTTTTTTTTTGCTAGAAACCAGCAAGAGGTCAGTACAGAAGGGAGCTACCCTGTGAATGACTCTGACTCTAATCTGTAATGGCCCTCAAGGACCTTGCCCCTCTCTTTTGCCTTTGTCTGCTCCCTCTAAGAAATAATTTAGCCATTCTTTTCCTTACAAAGTCAAGGCTTTGCTTCCTGTCCTCTTCTTTTGAACAAGTCATATTTGATACTGAACTTTTTCCTCTTATCTCCAAGTTCCTGAAAGTCAAACTAATAAGTGCAAAGCGGTATAGGGATGCAATTTTCTACGCATTAAAACACAAGAAATAAGATAATTGCATGTCTATTATTTCAACTGTTTTCAGCATTCCCACACAGCTTCCTAAGAAAGAATTGGCCGTTGTGTTGTGAAGCTTCCCATTACTTTAACAAATGCCATGTCCCAAACCCCGTAAACTCTGCCCTACTTAGCTTAGGACTCCTAGATCAGAACTTGAAAGCCTGAAAATGCTTCTAATCTGCTTCATGATCTTCCCCTGGCTCTGTCAGGACACCATCCCCGGGGAACCCCAGCCTACAGGCAAACCCATTGTTGGGAGCACAGCAGAAAACAGAGATAGGGGTGTAATTGTCCTGCCTAAACGTAGGCAAACAAGAGATTGTGTTGCAGTGACTTTTTTTTTCTTAATCCTTTGCATAATTGCAGTAGTCCTTTGATTTGCTTTTCCAGGAGAGGACTGGCTCCTAGCCCTGCAAATTGCTTTTATGAAAATCCGAAAGTGAAGAAGTATAAACACGTTGCTCCAATTAGCTTCAAACCCAACCGAGTCGGCTGTTGGTGGAAAGAGAACTGTCTGCAGGAAAATAGCGACAGCTCCTATCATCTTAGAGCTGGGCTCTAAAAGGAACAAGAATGGCTTGCCGTCCCCTCCCTGGCTGTGACTGGAGGAGGCCTGAACATTCTTACTCAAGGTCAATGCTTGTGTTGTCCTCTCGCGGTGATTGTGAAACAGACCGGAGTAGGGGGAGATGGTGAAAGACTGGAAGAACAGAAGCCCATTGCTGTTATGCAATCGGCCCCTGTCCACCCACTGGAGGCTGGGAGGGGACAGGGAGGCAGCACTCACCTCCACCAGGGAGAGAGCTTCCTGTAAGATAGGTGTGTATATATTGGCGGGGGAACATGCACTCTGATGTGTGGCGGTGGTTGCTCAATTTGTTTACATGGTAACTCGCTTATTTATTCGTCTGCTCTTTGTTCTCCGGAGAAGAGAGATGATCCAGCAGAGCAAACTTTTTTTTTTTTCCTTATGAGCTCACCCTCTCCCGCTGTCGGTGCCACACCTGTAATTATAATTATGGCCCAGTGCTCAGGGATGCTGCAATCCCTTCCTGCTGAAACCCATCTCGAGTTCACAGACCGAGTTGTTATGCAGAGAGAAAATGCCTGAGTGGATGGAATCTGCTTCATTAGTACCTGCGCTGGCTCTGCTGGCTGCAGCTAACCTTCTGCGAAGATGCGTGTGGCCCACATTTTTCAGAAGCATGGACACATCCTTATATTTTCAAAGGAACGATGACGTTAGCAGCCCCAACTGGGACACTCTGGGCAAACATAATGAGGCTAGGCGTTGGAAAGGTGGTTGATACTGAGATGAAGGAACTGCTGATGTTTTATAGGCATGCGGTAGAGGAGAGAGTCTGGGTAGTCACCAGAAGTAAATTAGCACAAGATGGTCACAAAAAATCATTACAGATTGACTTTATTTTGACAAAATCTTTCTTACATGTCTCATAACTAACAGATTCCCTGACACTAAAATGATTCAACATTAAAAGTAGTCTACCATTGAGATATAAACAGCCTGATAGTTTTACAAAGTGAAAAAAATTAACACAGAACATTGTTGTTTCAAATGTAATGAGACAGATCTGCAACTTTGTTCCCAAGTTAATGGAGCTCCAGTATTTCCTAATGAGGCATAGTTTCTCTTTGCTAGGCTGTTTTTTTGTTTGTTTGTTTTTGGGGGGCTTTTTTGTTTTGTTTTGATACACGTGGTAAGAAAAGCATTGTGATCACTGGATTTGTAGATAGCTTATCATATGACCTTTTTGTTATTCTAGTCTCAAAATAGGAGTGTTGGACTTTTAATCTACAAAAACCAGATGCAATTTCCCTCCTAAAACAAGGTTTCATTTCTAGAATCTGAGTCCGAATATGACAGCCTTCAATTGCTCTATTGTGTTTTAGTTTAGACAAAGGCTTTAGTCAAGTGCGGTAGCGTATCTGTGTTTTTATCCCGTTGAAAATTTTGAGAATTTTCTCTGGTGTATCAAATAAAATACATCACAGGAAAATTGCAGAGATAAAAATTAAACATGTTTCTTTCAGTGAACAAAAACAAACTTTTCTTTAGGTTCTTGCAAACTACAGTGACCAGCACAATTTTGTTCTTTAAAGAGGCAAGCACTTTTCATTTTAACAATGAAGTCCATTGGATTTTAGGCTAACTGCAGCAATATGTCTCACTTCTTGACTTCCAGATTCTTACAAAAGCAATTCATAAAGGCTTTCATTAAAAACAAAGTAGAAACAGATAAGAAACCTAATTGAAACAAATAACAACAATTAGCTCAATTTATCAACCGACATCTATTATGTTAAGGAAAAAGCTTCTGGCTAGGATGAGTAGGTTGCACAAAACATATACTCATGGCAGGATGGTTGCTTATGAAGCTAAACCTGCTAGTCCCTGAGGGAGAACTGTGGACTTTGAGTTTACCACCAATGCTGCCTCCTCAGTGGGTCCTTCCCTGCCTGTGTCCTAGTTGAGCAACATCAGGGCCACATACTAGCAATGCGTTTTCTCAGGCTATGATCCAGACCTTCTCATTCACTAGCTTTGGCATGGTAGACTTGCCTTCTTGTTTCAATAAGCCCCAAGGGGATTCTATTATCCACTGAAGTTCAAGAACCATTGGCTGGCATCTAACCTACCGGTCTCCAGGATTGCTTACTGCGATGTCTTCTCCACAGTTTCCAGAGGGCCCTTTTGAGATATGGACTTCCTGTACGACTCTTTCCAGGCTCCCCATTGCTGTGGAGTTGAGATGCTCTACCATGCAGATATTCAGTCTCCACTTTCCCTCTCACTCTTGCTCCCCCACACACAAGTGTGGACACCCCCAGCCCAATACCTGCAAAACTCCAGTCATCATGAGCACCTTGAAGATCTGCAAGAGCCAGATCGTTCCCTCCCTAGGGTCTCAGTGTTATCTACTCCTGGAAGGCCCCTCTCTCTTTCTTCCAATCACTCTCTCCTGCTTTTGTTTTTCTGGATGACTTTCCTTATCCTTTCTTGTTCATCTTCCAGAAGCATTGCCTGAAAGCCTCCCCCATGCCTTCCTGAGTCAGCCAGGTCCCTTTCCAAATGCTGCCGCAGAAAACCGCTCACTTCCATCGCTTCCCTCCCACCCAATTAACCCTAAATCATAACCAGTAACCTGCCCCACCCCCACTGAAGTATAATAACCACAATGGAGTAATAGTTTCACCTATAGTCTTGATGTTCAAAGTTCTACCAAAGATTTGGTTTATAACAAGCAATTTCTGAGTCTCTATATACTGACTGACTGACTGACGGACCGACTGATCAAATGTTTGAATGAGTTATCTTGGAACCACAATTATAGATGAACACAGTTATTCCAGGTGGAAAAAATGTTCTGTCTAATCATTGTAGAGATTAACACCCAGTTTCCCTGTTTCTCAATCCAATATTTTTAATATTAAATCAGATTGGTTTTCATACCCAAGGAAAATTTTACCTACATTTCTTAGCTGATTTTAATATATTGAGAAAACTGGGATAAGGGATCTCCTTGGATTCAATTTATAACATGTTAGCCAACATAATTTTGATTTTTTTCTTTTCGATGTCTACAGAAAGTTGGCAGGTGGCTCTAACTAAGAGTGACATTGTACTTAGTACGTAACCTCCGTGTTGTCTTGCTATGTGGTCATCTATTGGCTGCAGGACACAGGAGTACACAGCCTGATGTCACTGCTCTGTTGAGTGGAGAGATTTCGTGAAGTAGCTAACCAGTGTCCTGGAATACAAAAGCCGTGGAGGTAGGAATGTGTGCTTCTTTGTCTACAATGTATGGGGACAAATGTTTCCTAGCTCCGGGGACCAGTGTAAGAACTAAAGACAGGCAGTCTACAAGGGACACTTAGGGTAAGGTCAGGTAAACCGTGATGGATAAACACGGGCAGGAATAAACCCAGCAAGATAATAAGTTACTGAGTGAGTTACTGGACAGTTTCAACTGGGAGAGGAAAAAAAATAGCAAGGTCAAAATGCAAATTCATATTTTACACTATTAGCATTGACTACTTATTATTTGTGCCACTGTTAGCTTTAACTGGCAATGGTGCTACTCTGGTACATTTTAGATTTCAAAAATTTAACATCAATATAATGATGCCCTTCTGTAACTCATTCACGAAAAACAAAAAATTTGAACATTTAAAATTTCTGTCGCACAGCCTGAGCATGTTATTGCCGTTGATGACTGCACATACCCGGAAGGATTTATTGTGCACACGTCGCACTCAGACGCCAGTGTGAGAATGCCGGAGACATTTCCAGTTCAGACTCAAACTCTTCTTGCTTACTTAATTGTGGTCAGCTCTTAATCATTCTCTCTAGCCTTTGGAATGATTCATCCGCCCGTCTCCCGTGTAGTCAGTGGGAGGGCTCTACTCAGGCTTGTGAGACAGACCTTAGAAGAAACCGTCCTGTAATGCAGAAGGGCCGTGATTGGATCTTCAGCTGTTCCGAGATGATAAGGTTATTTTTAAAAGGGCTCGCGTGCGTGTGGACAGTCAGAGTCCAGCACGGCCCAGCCCGTTCCCTACCCCACCCCCACTTCTCTGCCCTCCCTTGCTCCACCTCTCAGGTGCCACTACAGAGGACAAAAGTGTGATGGAGAGGGTGGAAAAGAGGAGGGGCAGAGCAGTGGAGAGAGGCGGAAATGGAGCCGGGATGGAGGTCACAGGTGCGAGAGAGGGCTGAGGTCAACAGAGGGACAAGGGCCCTCGGACATGACCATGTCTTCAGGCAGCAGCGCAGACCGCAAACAGCGCATGGCCTTCAGTGGTAACCCCAGTAGGGTTGGCGGTGTGCCGGGCACAGCCTAGACCTTACATAGACACAGACTCAACCCCCAAAATGCTGCCAGGCCATGGGATCACAGTGGCTCTGGACAATGGCGGAGGTCCAAGACAAGAAAACGTTTGCGTTCTAGATTGGACCTCCGGGAAGGACCACAACCTCCCCTTCCTCTGTGTGTTCACCTCCCATTTCCTTCTTAACTGTCAGTGCCTAATCTAGGTAATGATGCTTATGGGATGATGATGAAGAGGATGGTGATGATGAAGCTCAGTCACAGGCATGTGTGTGTGCTGGAGCAGGTTAAACTCTCAGAGGTGCTGTCCTCTGAACTGATCCGGATACAGAGGTGACCTGCAAAGGAGCCAGCCAGTGCAACACGGGCTGTTGTGGAGGACTGGCGAAAAGGAAACATGAACTTAAAAGCAAACTAACGAGCCTCTTCAGAATAGCAAAGAACAACAATGCAACCCAAACAGACCTGTCCAGTCCACCCTAGAACTGGAGTATTAATGAGTCCTCTTGGTTCCTGAACTGGGTGGTCCTCATAAAACCAGAGGAGGCTCCGGATTGTAAAACTTCCATTACCGATTCCCCTGCAGGGCTTTACTGCCTGGAAACGAAAATCATTAAGAAGGGCTTGGATATGCTATAACCAGTGGGTCATATTAAATTATCTTTCTATGGCCAACTTCCACGCTGTTCCCAGGGTCAAGTTACAAATTACATTTCTTATATCAGCTCTGGGAATACAAGCAGCCTTTCATTTTTATTTTATACATTTGTTTGGACATTTACACCCTGGGAGTCCAGAGTTATGGAGAAGGCAAATGTTGCTTCAGCTGGACTGGTGGAGAGATGGAGGATAAATGCTGAAGTGTGTGATCTAAGCTATTGCCCTGGCCCCTCTGTAGGAGTGACTCACCCTGTCCCATTGTACCCGAATGCCACCGGCCCTCTGAAAGTCAAGACTGATGTGGTGCTCAGCTGCAGTCTCTCAAGAAATGCCTTTCTTCTGTGTTACAGGGAAGACTGCAAGATGACAAGCCATTTCAATGACAAATACTGTAGTCTAGACCCCTAGTGTGACAGGAATTATTAGAAGCATCAGCACCACAGATGACGTACCTGTAGGGGGCTATATTGTCATGTGTGATCTATGGTCTGTTTTCTATCTTTTTTATTTGTTTTTAATTTTTATTTTATTTGCTTCTTTGAGACATGGTTTCTCAGTAGCTTTGGAGCCTGTCCTGGAACTAGTTCTTGTAGACCAGGCTGGCCTCGAACTCACAGAGATCCACTTGCCTCTACCTACTGAGTGTTGGGATTAAAGGCGTGTGCTACCATCTCCCAGCTCTGTTTCCTGTCTTATATGCACTTGTCAACTACCCCATGCCTGAAGATGGTTGGGGATCGCACAGTCTCTGGCTTTTTAACCATAACCTTTACATCAGTACTTCTTGCATATAAGCTTAAAGGAAAACATGTGGGTATGCATTCAGGAAGTTAGGTGAGGTGTGAGCTTCAGTTTCCTTCCTGATTCCCAGCTAAGCTGAAAAAATACGTTCTTGTGAATATACAAGTATATAATTAGGACTAGACTCATGAACATGGTTGCTAGTTTAAATGATGCTTTTATTTATACCTCAGAAAAGTATTTGTTGTAATTTCTCTTTTTGGCAGGCTCATGGTTGTCTTGTGTTTTTAAGGTTACAAATATCTCATTAGATTCACGTTTTCTTGCATCGGATGACTCTGCTGCAGTTTTGGAAGTTGAGTGGGGATAGATTAGTAAAACACAGCAGGAGGCAACCATCCAAGAGTGCAAGCCCAGAGCGTGAGACAGACACAGGAGAGAGCTGCAGGCCCACAGCCTTGGCGCACTTGTCTCCAAAGATAAAGTGGCTGTCTCCAAAGATAAAGTCGTGACTACATTTATTTGAAAGAAACAGAACTCTCATCCAAGTAGGTATTGCTTATCCTCTTAGAGCTGAGCAATCAGATGTATGTTCTTTCCTCAGCACAGGTACTGAACTGAGAGATCCATAAAATTCTTCTGTGTAGAGAAAATCATAAAAGATAATAAAGACATTCATAGTGTGTGCCCAGGAAAAAGGGTCCCTCCCTCTCAGAAAAAATGTCACCCCTTCAAATGAAGCAGGAACC